CAAGTAGGTGACATGCTAAAGTGCGGCGTCGTTTAAATATCAAACAGCCCTTGGGTGTTGCTGGTTGTTTTAGTTAAAAAGAAGGATGGCACAATACGCTTTTGCATAGATTATCGTCGCCTAAACAAAATAACACGAAAGGATGTTTATCCTTTGCCTCGGATCGATGACGCCCTCGACTCTTCACAAGGCGCAGAGTTCTTTTCCTCCCTTGATCTACGCTCTGGGTATTGGCAAGTGCCCATGAATCCGGATGATGGACCAAAAACTGCCTTTGTTACACCAGACGACTTATACGAATTTAACGTGATGCCATTCGCCCTATGCAATGCGCCGGCAACATTTGAGCGCATGATGGACACTATCTTACGAGGCCTCAAATGGAACAGGTGTTTGTACTACTTAGATGATGTGATGGTATTCTCGCCCGATTTTCCCACGCACCTTCGTCGCTTGGAACAGGTTCTACGCTGTCTTTCTGTAGCTGGCCTCCAACTAAACTTGAAGAAGTGTCACTTTGGAGCACGCAAGCTGACCATTCTCGGACACGTTGTGTCGAAGGATGGCGTTCTCCCTCACCCCGCTAAGCTACGTGCTGTTAGCGAGTTCCCGAGGCCTGCATCTCTCAAGGAGCTGCGTAGTTTCATTGGGCTTTGCTCATACTTCCGCCGCTTCGTCCGGGATGATCATAGCACCTCTGACAGACCAAATTAAGGGAGACCGCAATCTATCCGCGTGGTCTCCAGCCTGCGACAGTGCTTTTGCGATGCTCCATGGACTGCTAACAACACCACCCATACTGCGACATTTGATTCAAGTGCTCCCACAGAAATCCACACGGATGCTAGCGAAGTCGGTCTTGGCGCTGTACTCGTCCAATGAAAGCCTGGTTACCAAGAATATGTTGTTGCGTATGCAAGCTGCACTCTTACAAGAACAGAAGCAAATTATTCGGTAACTGAGAAAGAATGCCTAGCGATCATCTGGGCCATTACCAAATTTCAGCCTTATCTGTACGGTTGCCCTTTCGATGTTGTTACCGATCACCACGCGCTCTGCTGGTTATCCTCCCTTAAGGATCCCTCCGGACGCTTGGCACGGTGGGCTTTACGGCTCAAGAGTATGACATCCGTGTCATTTATCGTTCAGGCCAAAAGCATGCCGATGCCGATGCTCTTTCGCGTTTGCCTGTTTCTGCTGATATTGTGACTGTCTCCATCCAAGACAACTTACTTCCACTATCAGGACCCATCGACATGGCTGCGGAGCAGCCCAAGGATTCGTGGATTGCGTCTCTGATGGATTACCTATCTGAAACACTCATCTACCCGCCATCTCGAGCGCTACACCGACAAGCCTCTCACTTCGCCATCCGTGATGGAATACTTTATCGCCGCAACTACCATCCCGACGGCCGCAAATGGCTACTCGTCATACCCAGGCATCTCCGTGCCAGCATATGTGCTGCTTCCCATGCCGATCCGCAGTGTGCACACGCCGGTTTGTTTAAAACCTACGCCAGGCTACGTTTTCGGTTTTATTAGCGCGGCATGTACACATTCCTTCAAAAGTACATTCAATCTTGCACAGAGTGCCAACGCCGCAAACACTATCCTAGCCATCCTACTGCACCAATGCAGTCGTTACCGTGCCCAGTGCGACCATTCGACCGAGTTGGGATAGACCTTTATGGTCCTCTGCCATACATATCAGATGGGTATCGCTGGATAATTGTAGAAATCGACCATCTCACGAGATATGCAGATACGGCCGCTCTACCAGCCGCGACGGCACATGACGTTGCGTCTTTCCTCCTGCAACGTTTTGTTCTGCGTCACGGCGCTCTACGTGAACTTTTGTGTGACAGAGGCTGCGTCTTTCTCACGGATGTTATTCAAGAATTTCTTGCTGAATGCCACGTGATTCACCACTGTACTACCACATATCGGCCACAAACAAACGGCTTGACCGAACGTTTCAACCGCACTCTTGGCGACATGCTTTCTATGTATGTCGCCTCTGACCACACCAACTGGGATCTTATCCTTACCTACGTAACGTACGCTTACAATTTGGCACCTCAAGCGACGACAGGCTTTTCTCCCTTCTTTTTACTCTATGGTCAAGAGCCATCATCTCCAATCGACACCATTCTCCCTTACCGACCTGACTCATACGAAGGAACACCAGTTTCCGAAGCCACTCAGTACACGAAAGAATGTCGACAATTAGCTCGCGCCCTTACAACACAAGAACAAGGGCTACAAAAATTTCGTCACGACGATAGACGGTCCCACTACCAGTTTTCGCCCAACCCTCTTGTTTGGCTGTGGGTGCCTCCCACTGCTGCTCCTGGTACATCTACAAAGTTCGTCAGCAGGTAACATGGGCCTTATCGCATCATAGAGAAAACTTCCGCTGTCAACTACCTCATCGAACCCCTCACACCTACTCCGGACCTGCGTCGCCGAGGACGCGAAATCGTAACGTGGATCGTCTCAAACCGCATCACGAACCACTTGTTCTCACAACACCTTAGAACACCTACTTGGCTCCGTCTTCAGCGAGGGGGAAATATGTAATGATGAGTGTAGTGGGTCATGCATAGCTCGGAAAACACATCGTCAGTGCTAAGCACGAGAGGCTCGCACAGGACGTTATCGCTGCTTTCGCTGGCTAGGCCTACGCTCCTACCTAGATTCAAATAACAATTTTAACTGTCACAGTTCTTTATTATAAAACCATTATTAAAGGAGACAAAGGTGCTACGAAGATAAAATTCTAAATGTGACATGAAGTTGGAAACGGATATGCAAGAAGAATTGATAAATGTTGTGCCCTCATGTTTCTCGATACAGTCCCTTACACAGGATAAAAATTCATTATGAGGCACTGAATAAAAAGATCCTCAATGTAAATCAAAAAAAGATAACTGATGTCACTTCTGCTTTTCAAGAAATCTATGACAACACAGGAGCTTTTTGTTGCGAAAGGATCTACAAACGCTAACGTATTTAAATTTTTCAACAGATAGTGACTCACTTGCAGCTGCCAAGTACCATTTTCTGTCACAATTCACCTAAACGGCATGTCAACTTTGCGCTTTTTTACATTGAAAAACGCTTCCAAGGAAGTTTTCTTGCATTCAAAAACTGAATTAGCAAGATTGGCTAAATTAAAACTCTTGCACAATTCAACAGCACGACTTTTTACCTTTGACGCTTTTACAGTTGCAGGATCAAAATTCTTCATAATAGCAGAACTGGCTTTGTCCTGGAAACCGGAAGTGGACATCACCGCCAATCCGCCTTCTTTGTCTGCCTGAAGAAGGGAAAGTTCATACTTGAAGTATGAGACAACTTCGCCCGTGGTCAACTTGGGACGGTCATTTCTACGGTTCCGTAAAGCCATTGCAAGGACAGAGGAAAAGATTGCATGTTGTACCATACATGCACAAAACCTCCCACAACCTGAAAAACCTTGCAAATCGGCGCCATGTGCCGGTGGTCTTCTCTGCTCCGAATAAGCTTTCAAGGCTCTGTGCCCGCATTTCTCCAAGAGGTGCCAAGGTGGTGTGCGATAAGAAGCATGAAAAGCACTTCCTGCGTTGTGCCGTGGGCACTGTTTAGGAAATTCCCCTGAGCTGTGGCAAGGTCTATATAGGCCAGACAGGGCGTTGTACAAATGACCGTTTAAAGGAGCATTCTTTATCAATTAGGAATGGAACAGGGTCTTATTTGCCCTTCCACTGTGCTTCGTGTGGCTGCACGCCGCAGTTCGATCGCACGCGACTACTTGGAAGGAGCCGGGATGCGCTGCCGCGGGAGTTACTCGAAGCCTTTCACATAAGGAAGAAAGGTGACTCGTGCGTCAGCGTGCCTTCAGTTTTGATGCATAATAGTGAATTCCAACTGTTGGATCTAGATGTACTTTAGATGGTTGCTACGAAGTGTCTGTCAGTCCTTCTTTGCTGTTTTTTCGTTGCATTTTTTTTGCACAGGCTTAAGTCTGTTTGGTTTTTTTCGACGTCTTTACATCAGGCATATCTGTTTGTTGCTGGTTCCCAGATATCATGATTGCAATAATAGTTTATTACATTATCAAAAATGTTCATGCCTGCACGTGCGGTGAATGAAATGTTCTGCGCATGTACTCCAAGAGCCTATATATATATTGTGAATGCTTCAGTTGAGAGTTAGCACTCTTTCTGTCTCTTCTCATTCTTCTCATTGGAAACCTTGCGCCAAATATCATTTGATTGGTGTGCGATATTGGGCAGCGAGTGGGAGGTACAGCTGTGTGGATTGCAGAACTACGTGCTCATTCAAATTGCCGATATAGCACGCTATGGTGAAAACTGTAGAAATATCAATTTACCTCGCAATCACCCAGCGATGGTGCAGCAAGGCTGTTAGAAAAGAGTTAATTATCTAGCAATGACTATTCAAGAAGCAAAATATCAGATATTGGATTGACATCGCTTTACAGAGCTATTTTTTATTTCATTAATGTTCAAATATTCAAGTATTTGCACGCCCCTACCTTAAACGGATTAATTGTTTCACTTTTGTGTTTGTCATGATGTGTGTGCCTGTGTTAGGGCAAGAATTCCTGATGCGAATCATTGGTGAACTAGTAAATAAAGTCAAGTGCTGAGCACGATATGATTTAAAAAGCTTGCTAAGTACCTTATTTTGTGATTCCAAACTTCGCATGCAAGTGACTTCAATTGAGAACGAACTACTTGCACCCAATGTTGAACGAACGGAGGGCGCGCATTTCTCCCCATATCCGTGATTGGGATCGTACTACTACACAACGATTATTTTCTTTTCGAAAATTAACGGTGCCCGTTTGTATGCGGTTCTCTCTGGCTACAATTCTTGCGACATGTTTTACTCGGGGTGTAATGATCTTTCAGTTGTGTTGTGTACCCGGAGCACCATTTGCACGGGTACAGTAGAGTAAAACTACAGCTTGTAGTAGCATGCAATACTCACTGCGATATACTTGGATCGCCGCATTATTTGAACTGCTCCATGAGAGGAAACTTGCAAGCTGGCCGGCAGTACAAACGGCAAAACCGGACACAAATATCGACACAGCGACGTTCACAACACGCCGAACAGCCATGCGTAGTCGTTGTGCTGTTTTATTAAATATTTCGGGAGCGTCTGCAATGGGAGCGCGCGTGCCCGAGCGTGTGAAAGCGTGTAATTGCTCGTTTTTAGCGCGTTTAATGCGTTTCTTAGCCTTTAACAGTGGACGCACCTGCTACGCGCATTGGTGCACGAGTGAATATGCAGGCACGCCGAAATCGCGTCGATACATTCACGGTTTCAAGGACCTACCAACACAGAAAAAAAAAAAAAATGTCAAACAGAATTGGCACTAAAGGCCAAACCTCATAAGCGCGAAAATGCACGCGACAGCGACGAGCGACGCGACGTAGATCGTCTTCGCGCGATCAGTCGCTAGCGCAGGCAAACCTCATTCACGCGACGGCTTCGGCGAGCGAATTCCACTGTTGCTGGCATGAGGCCGTCTACTCGCACCAAGAAAACCGCGTAGCGAGCGGTATGCAATTTAAAAATAAAATATATTGTTGTGTAATGAAACGTAAAGTGTTTATTATTGCCTTGCAGCACTTTTTTATATGCACATGCGTAATAAACATTGCGTTATTTCTTGTTGCGCATCCGTGACTCGGGCAGGGTCACGTGCACCTATGTAGTCTTTTCTGGTTTTTCGCTATTGGCTGCTTGAGCCCAGCACTTCCGGGCGATGAGCGGCGGTTTCCAAATCGGGAGAACTGAGCGATCGCGCGAAAACGAGCACGCGACACGTTGCGCGAACGCCCTGTTTCGTCGCTCATAGCGTCGCTCGTCGCTGTCGCGTGCATTTTCGCGCTTATGAGGTTTGGCCCTTATCCGTCAAGCTTCTTACTCAATCAGCGCTTTGAGCTGCGTTACATCATAAGTGGCTACTGGTGAACTACAGAGAGAGGAGAAGTATCAAAACGGCGATTAATTCATACGCTCTTTTTGTCTGCAGTCTCTACGATATACAGAGCACAGTGTTCCTCATATGAGCCTAAATGCGCTTGATTGTTTCACGAGAAACCCGAGTGTAAGTAACGTTGTCAGAACAAAAATCGGTGACGACTCTGTTTTATCATGACAGTTTCGCGGAAGATAATATTTATTGCTTTCCGAAAGGCTTATTACATATTAAACTTATTAAAAACAACACACAAACATATTGAAAAGTGCCGATTGTATATATAGCCCGTCTGTTAATCTGCGTAAATTCATTGTAACCAGTTCTCATTTTGTATCGACAGCTTAAATTGTGCTGCTTTCCAAATATTCTATTGGCGTAACGCCATTGCAAGCGAGCAAATTTATGACGATGGTTTGTATTATATGCGTAGTTCTAATATTAAGTGCAAAAAGTGTAGGGAGGCAGTGGTGCATCTTGTTTTGAGAAACTTACCTCCATATATGTACACAGTAAACAAACACACACACAGATATATATATATATATATATATATATATATATATATATATATATATATATATATATATATATATATATATATATATATATATATATATATATATATATATATATATATATGTGTGTGTGTGTGTGACGTGACGTAAGAAGGCAGGGACGGTTGGTAGAAGCAGAGAAGGAAGAAGTTCAGAATGCAATAAACATGGCGTATGAGCCAGGCCACGTCTCCCATTCATCGTAGCGTCACACAAGTCGACAGGATGGAGACCTGCCTGCCCCTTCATCAGTCGTTCAGCATCGACGCAGTTTTACGCAAGACACCCTGACCACACATGGACAACCGTGCAGGCGCCTAGCATTACGCATCGACCAGCATCATGTCAGAAGCATCTACTGACCTTCCCATCCCCAAGTACACCGGAGCAGCGGACGATGGACCCGTACAAGACTGGTTCGACCTGTTCGAGCTCCACGCTACCGCTGCATCTTGGTCGGAACGGGAGATGGTCATCAACTTTACTGACTACATCTCAGGTGAGGCATTCAAATTTTACCTCACCCACATCTTCGAGAACGATGAGTCTTGGAAAAAGATCAAAGAAGAAATGATCATTCGTTTCAAAGAATACGATGAAGACCTGTTCATACCTCATCAGCGGAAGGCTTTTCAACTGACCCATCACAGTTACGCGAAGTCTTCCCGCAGTAAGCCTATTTTCCAAACGAGATCTCAGAGAAAATATACCACCATTGTACCATCATATGACTCTTCCGAAAAAACGTCACGCATTCGAACACCGACTGGTAACGTGCACGTCGCAACAGACAAGGAGGTAAAGCGTCCGTATACCGAAAGAAATCTAGACAATTTCGCCAAAAAACTGAACCTAAAGCCGCCTTTCCCAAGAGCAATGACATCGTCATTTTCAACGTGTTCACTGCACCATGACACTTCAGATTTTACAGAACCACCCAAATGCCTTGATGCATCATGTCACACACAACGCCCAAACGGTTTCGAGCGTGTGACGGAATTTACGTGTGACGAGCTGGTGAATCCTCGCAATACCAGCCCCCACCCTGACGTTCCCGACCAGGGTCGTTCGACAGACTCTGTCAGCCTAACTACGCTGCAAAAAGAAAAACATACGCCATCAGAACCACCTGAAGCAATGTCTGTTGTGCTCTCATCGTCAAGTGACAACTCACATGTGAGTCAAAGCACTGCAGGAATTTCGAATCCTCCAACGCCGGCGCATTGTCAACTGACAGAAGCATTTACATTCAAGGATGACTCACAACCTTCTTGGGAGCTTTCTCATCAGCCTGTCACACTGCTTTCATCGCAAGACAAGCCTAGCAGCACAGTGTCGACTACCGATAATATACTGACCACATCACCATCTAACGAAAAGGAGACTCATGTTCCTGAAAGAGGCCCATCTGACGAACTTTCACAACAAGACGAGCAATTTCAACAAAAGCAACTCCACGAATCACAGGAACTACAACGACTACTCGAACAAGAACAACGATCAAGTGAAACCTCCGCACAAGTACACTTGTGGCTTCAAGGTCACCAGAGACAACAACAATTAAAGAAGCAAAGACAAAGTCAATGCCTAAGCCACCTTCGGAGAAAGCAACGTCGACAAAATTTTCTGCACCAGTTCTCAACGCCGTGCCTTCGATCCAACAAACTGAGAGAACGCCACATGAAGTTACGAAAGAGACATGAAGCTATCATGTATACAACAGAGAAGAAAAGACATCGTCCCATCAGCCTTCGTTTTCACGCACGCCGGCTAAAAGCAAAGCGTTTGTTGCCACGACGGCGCTGGATCCGATGCCAAAGACATCCGTCAAGCCAATGCTGCGCAGATTTCAAGCCTTGTTCGTTCCTCACAAGACCTCAAGATGTGTCATCATCAGTGCAGATGTGCAGGGCGGGCTTAAGCTATCCCGGGCGCAACAGTCAGCCTCGCCCACCAGAGTTGTTATAGAGTTCACCGGACTGCTCCGTCGGGCTTGAAGATTCAGTGAGATTGTGAAACTCCGTCAGGATGTGAAACTGTGAACTTGGCCATTGTTTTGTTTATTCTCTTTTTCTATTTGTTGTAGTTTGTAACCGGTGCCATATTTCGGGGGGAGGGGGAATCCTGTGACGTGACGTAAGAAGGCAGGGACGGTTGGTAGAAGCAGAGAAGGAAGAAGTTCAGAATGCAATAAACATGGCGTATGAGCCAGGCCACGTCTCCCATTCATCGTAGCGTCACATATATATATATATATATATATATATATATATATATATATATATATATATATATATATATATATAATATGGGGGGGGAAGAAGTGTATACCTGGGGGCTCGTTTTTCCGTGTTTTGACACAACATTAATTTTTATTTATTTTATATATTTATAGAATACTGTGGACAAAAAGTCCAAGCAGGGTGAGCATACATAAAACACACTAAATAACAGAATGAAACAAGGTTGCAAAGCGTTTTTTTACACAATTTCTTTGCATATAAGACAGAGGGGTTATGACTTTTAAAGAAAGTAACAATTTAACAACAAGGTGATAATACAATTCTAAGAAAGTCATGGAAAAAGAGTATTTACACAAATGGTCAAGGGCATTGAGGAAATGCTTCGGTTAGTTTATTCCAATCATCTATTATTTGTGGGAAGAAGGAGTACCGAAAAGTATCAGTCCTTGCGAAGATTGGCGTTAGGGAATGAGGATAGTGGTGTCGAGTGGGTCTGCTTAACAAGGGGGATACGTATGCTGCGGTGTCTGGGTAGCCTGTGGTTTATTATGTCTGAAAGAAACTTGTCTTGTCTTGTCGCCTAGGAGATCTTGGCTCATATCCACATGGGGGATCGGCCACACTGTACCTTATGATAGATATTTTTTTACAATGCAAGCTAAAAAAAGAAAGATAAATTAGATAAGAACAATAATAGTGTTCCTTTGAAAAAACGTGAAAAAAGGGCAGAAGAATTCGATAAACCAGAATATATAAAAGAAATTAACAAGAATGAGGAAGGGGGACAAATAATTGGATATATGTGGCAGTACCACTAGCAGCGTATCCTACCGGTTGCCTGAATGAATTTATGTAGCGCTGACAGAATAGCACTGTGGCCTACACCCAACTGACTGGCTCCAAACGATAATAGGATGGATGTATTGACTGGCAATCCGAGCATACCAATCGGTCTTTCAAGTATTATTTGGCGCAGTGAAGCGAAGCGGCGGCATGTGAGCAGAAAGTGATCTATTGTTTCCGGTTCATTGCAAACTGCACATAGGTTAGTTAATGAAAAACCTGATTTGTTGAGATAAAAATTTAACCGAGGAACTCTACAGCGAAAGCTTGTGAGGGTTACCTCACATTGACGGGAAAGGCATTTTGCGGTGTTCCATATGAATTGCAAGTGCCGAAATTCTTCAGATTGTAGGAGCGACGTTTCGTTGATTTTTAAGATTAACAGGCGTTTGAATCGTCCGGCAGTGATAAAAGGGAACTGTGGAGCTACTAGCACCACCGGGAAATTTGAAGATGCCGAAGTGAGCGAATCAGCAATTTCATTTAGTACAATTCCAGCATGCCCGGGGACCCAAAAAAAAAAAAAACCGAACTTCTGATAGGCTATGCGGTGCGAGAGACCAAAATATCCTGAGAAGAGGAGACTGCTCTGCGGACGTTAGATGTGAACATACAGACAAAGCATCCGAAATAATAATAGCTTTTGATTGCTGATAATTTAGTTTTCGAAGAGCCAATGTAATAGCCAGGAATTCTGCGAGATAAATTGGTGTGAAGTCAGGCAATCGGAGCGCAAAAGACCAATTAAGCTGATGAGAAAAAATACCTACCCCAGCCTTCTGAAGATTTTGCGTTGCATCCGTCGAAATTACTACGTATTTGGGA